CAGGAGGCTGCACGAACCGATGATTTTGGCGAATGTTGGAATCGTTGTCGGTGTGTTGTCGAAAATAAACGAGAAAAAACATTTCTTCATTGTACATAAAAGGAAAATAGACAGGTAGATAGATGGATAGCGAGAGACGATACGAGCTTTTGAAGGAAATAGAGTGTGGGCTGTACGAAGCTATCGCTTTCTTTCTTTTTTCGTTTTCTTTGTTTGCTTTTCGTTTCTTTTTATTTTAAACTTAGAATCCAGAAACACGTGCAACTCCTACGTATTAACGATCGAGCTCTGGTTGTTACGAGGTAACGAGCGTCGTGGTTAATAGCGAACGTTTTTTTCTTTTCTTTTCTTTTCTTTTCTTCTTTTTTCTCAATATTCTCTTTGAAACGTTCGTCCGCCATCTGGTATCTTCGGCGAAATTCAGCGATCAACAAGAGGAGTAACGAGGGATGGATCACGAAAGGACAACCGTGGGAGAGACGTCATTCGATTTTCGTTGGCTTACAATTTTGTCTTTTCTTTTTTACTACACAGACACAGATCAGGCCTCTCTCTGCTAATGAAATCCGTTCTTGGAAGTTCTCGTCGTAAAAGTCGATAAAGAAGCTCGATGAGAAGAAGCATTCGGAGAATGAAAAATCCCAAGGAAGACGAGCATTCATCGATATTAACCACGATCGATTCTACCTTCTGGTATTATTAATCGTCGAAAGAGAGTTTATATCTTTTTATTAACTGTAACCTACTTTTATTTCTTTCTTTGTTATATTTTTTTTCTTTTTTTTTTCTTTTTGACAAAAATCGAGACAAAGCCAGAAGGAACGTAATTTTTCAATGGACGTTTGGCAAGTTTTGGACATTTTTATGAAAGTTTCTTTTTTCACACGGTCTCTCTCTCTCTCTCTCTCTCTCTCTATTCATCTCTATTACTTTAATGCTATTAGTCTCAGCTATCCAACGTCGTAACGCTGCCAACATTGTAACGTAATCGGAATAGCCGACGGTCATACTCGAGAGTCTGCATAATATCGACTTAATTAATCCGAGCGTTATATGGCACGGGAGAGAACGGCCGACGGCCGACTTAATCGCGATTTAAATGAAACAGCGAGACAGAATTACGGACGCAGTGTTTGTTCGATTGAAAAGCGCCGTAGAATGACGCTCGGCGTAATTGCGAGAGTAGTAACGATTATTGAGCGTTTTATAATTGCTAAACTAACGATTCGTCGTCCAGCTCCAGAGATAAAAACGGCGATGAACGAATTCGGAGGAGATTGCGAGTGAGTCAGTGATGGGAGGGGGAGGGGAGGGGAGAAAGTAAATGCACACGGCAGGCGGGCGCGGAACACGGCACGAGAGAGCAAATACAATCATGCGTCTGTCCTGTTCTGCAATTCCATCGTAATTTCGCGTAATTGCCTAGCGTGAATCAGTCTGGACGAGGACGACGACGACGACGACGACGACGACGACGACGACGACGACGACAACGACGAAGACGATGGAACGAACCGCATCGACGTATGCAACCGCAACGGAGAACATACGGATAAAGAAAATGTACGATATATGTGTACGATATAATCCTCTCTCATTCTCTTATTAGACAGTAGACCAGTATTGTATCCGACGAGTTTACGATTATTATCCTAAGGTTCGTTTCATTTCGAACGACTATTCTTCGTTTAAACGTCGACGTAATTGCCAGATGCAGACTTGCCGGTACGCTTATCTTCACTTTTATTCGAGCTAATATCGAAACTCGGGCGGAAAAATAAATAAAAACTCTTCTCGTTTAGCGCGTTTAAATAACGTTGAGCTTTCTTGCAATGTCATTGTAATCTCTGGCGCTGGCTGCGCATGGATCAGACGAGACAGAGAGAGGGAATATCTGGTGTTTACATCAGGGCCGATATATCGCACGCTTTACATGCAGAGACAAGCGCGCTTCTCCTCTACATCGAGTAAAAGAAAAAAAAAAAAAAAAAAAAAAAAAAATGAGTGCCGAGAGTTATCTCCTACTAACCTACACACATGTATCGTAGTGTGCATAGTATGCAATATACACTTTGCAATCTCTCGACCTGATTATTTTTACGTAATAAGAGCGTTCCTACGTTTAACGAACCCTCTTAGATCGTTCACATGTGTGCAGTATACATGTGTGCGTATCGTTACATATATTCAAAATTTATGATTTTCATAGCGGCGTCTATGAAGATCCTTCTCGAAATATACCTTCTATTTTAATTTTAGTCTTGGCTGGCTCTCGTCGAGTTAAACGCCGGATAGAAGAGGATGAAGCGTTTGGAACAACAATGACGTAACATTCTGACGAGTTTGTTGACTCTACACGTACGTATGTACGTACGTACGTACGTTCGTACATATGTACGTGCTCGGAATAAATCGATTTTGCCACGTCCTATGGTATAGACGTATTAATTCATGATAACCAACATTCGTAAATTCCATTGAAAGAATTTGGTAGAAAAGTTTCTCGAATCGAATTTCTATCGAGATCGTTTCAACGATCGACTCTCTCTGGTTTTCGCAGAGTCCTCTCATAAATCTGGTTAAAGGACGTCACGTAAAGAAGAAGGAAATCGTTCTAACCTTTCTTTATGGGAGCGAATATTTATCGTGAAAATCGATAATTACATCGAGCTCCTCTTCAAAGCTTATAGGAGAGTGCAACGACTCGAAACGTTTCTCTTCTCTTGGCTCGAAGGCAGTCAGGAGCAAGCATCTCTTATTAAATCTCAGCTCGGAATTGTTATTAAGAGCATACTACTATCGTTGCACCCGCGATCTTTCGGGGCGTATATTTCACGTTTGCTTAGGGTTAATGCCTAAAGAAAACAGTACGTTTATCTTGTATCCATGCTCGCTCGCACGCTTACGTATACTTAGCCATCGGTCGTTTGACACCAGTTACTGTAACGTTATACCTTCTGTTTCCAGAGAGTGTCTCTGGACGACTAACGCGATAACGTTCAACCATATTTACACTAATTTCCAGAAGCGAAGTAAACAGATACGCGAATCGGTTGTTTGTAATTTTCCTTTGAAATCGATCGACCTTGCGGAGTTCCCTAGCGTTTCCAGATTATTGATTTTGCTACGTTTTGCCGGGGCGTCGGCGGAGCTCTGCAAAACCTCCTGCAACGTGGAAAGATAAATTCCAGGGTGGGAGGAGGAGGAGGAGGAGGAGGAAAAGGGAAGTGGGAGATGCACGAAGGGAGAAAACGTGAGAAATCGCATCTGAGAGAGACCTCTCGAGCTTATCTACTATCTTGTCGGTTATTGAAAATCGGATGTCTCGTGCTCGCGTAACATCTGTGTAGGTAACCGCAAAAGAGAAAATCCGCGTACGCAGGAGAGAACGAAAAGAAAAAAAAAAAAATAGAAAAAAATTGTACAAGATAGGAAATATAATCGATAGTAAGGCCGCACGAAAAATTAAAGAGAGAACGTGATATATAAAGACTCCGTTCGTGTGGCATAAATACAAAAGTTTCTAGTAATAACAAATGAAAATCCATATATTGTATTCAGCGTGCAAAAGACTGTAGATTCTTTTTAAAGAAATGTCACGAAATAAATGCAGAACCAGTGCGGAAGTGACTACTACACGTTCGATAGATAGATACGCCCATACACGCGTTATCTCATTCATATCTCGAAATCCGACAATTTCTAGCGATTTGTATCTCTATTGAATAGCGTTCCACGGTGTAGCCGAACGTAAGACGAAACGTAAGACGGAACGTAAGAACGTAAGACGTACGAAAGAACGTACGAAAGCGAACGTTTCACTCGGCTACGTACGGAAGCGAGGGAAATTTTGTCAGAGACTAAACCAGTCTCTCGTAAATCACTTTCAGGCGTGAACGGTACGACAGGCCGAGCGAGTGTTAGCATAATTCAACGGATAGCGTAGACGATATCTGAAAGAGAGAAGTCCGCGTACAGAGAGTACATATTCCGTATGATCGGACAAAGCTTCGAACGAGAAGCAATGAACGAAACGTGCTTCCTTTCTCTCTTTCATCGTCCGCGAATATAGTTTTCGTTCAAAGTTTCGTACTCTCTTCGTCTCGAACAGACGGTAAATAAAGCAACGTGCCGCAGCGAACGATTTAGATAAACCTATTTTCAACTAGACCGATAGAGTCGACCGCTTTCGTAGCACGGAAAGTTTACGCGTCTCGTTGAGAGCAGACAATTATCGTGAAACATCAAACGATTCTCTGATTCGCCGCTAAGTCAACGTTCTCGTAACTCTTCCTTCGTAATCGCCTTTTTGATTCGTTGCGGATAGATAATAGCATGCATTTTTTTTCTTTCTTCCTTCGTTCTAATCTATACAAAAGGGAGCACGAGCTATAATTTAGGAGAGAGGAGAGTATTCCGATAATACCGAGAGACTGTAAGTCCTTTACTCGCTATCGCAGGACTTGTTCTCCGAGAAGGAAGATAATACGGGATGGCCGAGCGATGTACGACGGTCTTCTAAGCGCCTACGATAGGGCTTATAATAATTTCTATTTTCGGTAAATGGAAAAGAGGTACGGGATGTTCTATCTCGAACGATATACAGAGAGAGAGAGAGAGAGAGAGAGAGAGATGGCACGACGAAAGTATCCTGCTAAGAAAAGATTTCTCTCTCTCTCTCTCTCTCTCTCTCTCTCTCTGACGAGAGAAAAATCTCCTTTGAACAGAGAGAAATAATTTTTTCTCAAAGACACCGAGCGATCCTTGCGAAAGAAAACTCTCTCTCTCTCTCTCTCCCTCTATCCATCTTTTATCTTTATTTCCATCTCTATGTACAAGAGAATCCAATGTACTTTGCGAAAAAATAGTTGCTTCAAGGATCTTTGGATTTTCATTTCATAAAAGTCGAAAGAAAATTGTAAAAGATTTCAGGTCAGTGAGAAAAAGCATCTCGAAAAGTTTCTAGCGAGATATTTAAATGGAATCTTTTGAAATTTCAGGTGACAACGGTACCGGACGAAGCCGTGGACAGCTTTAAAATGCCCAGAGCTTCCGTGGTACATATGACGTCGACGGCAACGAGACCACAGCACATGTCGCAGGTACTAACACGTTCGTTCAATTTATACGAGATACATGCATACTACATTCTAAGACGCAATCACAATGGAACGTCGCATAACCTACGGCCACTCGCTAAACTTTCCTTCCATTCGTTCTACGTTTTAACATTCTCGAGAAGCTACGAACGCAAAAGGGCTGCATAAATACTCGAAGGTACCTTCCACGTGTAGACTTTTTCAAAACGGACAAACGAAGAGGAAAACTACTAGCTTGCATGGATTACTCCGTGACTTTGCTTCTTCTTCCGTTCTTTCTCGTAGGTAGGTAACGACTGAATGTAAGTTCGCACGAATCGTAAACTCGAAGGTGTACGAGCAAGAGATACGAACGAATTGTAAAAGAAAGAAAAAAAGTAAATAAATAAAGAGAAACTATACGATATCGTTCCTGTGCTGGATCGTTCTGAAATTGTTATCTTAACCGAGATCGCTTTTTTTCTTTGTTTTCTTTCTTTCTTTCTTTTTTCTTTTACCTTGCTCGTATATTCGCGTGGGTAAAATTTCGAAAGATCGTATGAGATCTTACGACTACGGATCTTGTTCAGTTGACACGGACTTGCGTAAGCAGGTCTACCGCTGAATGGGATCTTTTAGAGATCTATTATCGGTTAGAGTTAAATCGGTCGATCGTACTTTAACGTGATTCATCGAACGGAGACACCGTAGGACGCCGTGTACTTTCATATATTCGCGTGTCAACTGTATTACCTCGCATTAAAACTTATATAAAACTCGGCGAAATTCAACGAGAAGATTAGGTCCTGGAAGCCTTCGAGATCGAACGACCAGCGAATAATGGAAAAAATTTTCATCGGCGCTGTACTTGAACTTTTCTTGGCGTGTTCCTAAAACGAGAGAGAGCCAATCGGACGTCCGAGGATTTTCGAATAATCCGAATCGAGCTTATAGAGGGAAGCTTACTTTCTTGGCACGCGGCCATATTGATATGCAAATACGGGAGGGATAGCGGAGCTTAATTGAGTGGTTCGGCTTAAAATGCATATCGAGTAGTAGCATGGGCGTCCGTTTTCCTGCGCAAAGCCCTTCGACCAGACTTTGTCTCACGTTGCCCGTAATCTTTGAGAGACCGTTCAAGAATTTCTTAAACGCCTACTCTCTTCTTTACTGGACTATATTATACTCTTTGCTCGCACGCACTTTATATAACTTGACGAGCCGAATTTTCTATCGATCGATGTTTTCGCTTCGTCGTCGCCGTTTTCTCCTCTTTTTTTTTTCTTTTTTTTACAACAGACTCGACGAGATCGAATGACCGAATCATATTTAATAATGTTTCCTCAGAACTATGTACCACGAACTCGTTCGAAGCCACACATCCTTGTACTTGGAAAGTGCACCAAGAGTATTCAGCCTCGACTCCATGCAAACGAGCTTTTAACGTTCAGCTGCGCCACATAAGAAGAAACGACGACGGTCAGAGAAACGTAGTACGGAACGAGGATTTTCTTCGAAAATGTCGACCTTCCTTTTTACCAAACGTTTTATCTGCCACACGGAAAATCGTTTAACGTTCTTCAAAAATTTCTTGCCTCTAAACGTTCGCCTAGAACTAACGACCGATTCGTTCCGGCTTCCCGCATGCTCGCACGATTGCGAACACGAGCAAGTAACGCCTTTTACATTTTTCTTTTCTCTCCACGTACGTACGTGTTCTCCAAACTTTTTTCATGAAAATAACTCGACGAGAGAGAGAGAGAGAGAGAGAGAGAGAGCGTGCTAGGTAGTAGCGATTTTTTGTAGCCAAGTTTCCGTAGCAATCCATAAAGTCAGTGTCGATCGCACCTGTTATAAAAATTCTGTCGATATTTCACGGCGCTCGGTGTACAGCACGCGCGCGTTAAAGTGTAGGATACATACACGATGCGAATGCATCGACGTGTCGAGGTCGCCGAGGGGATGAGCGACCAAGTGTGCATCGAAGCGACACTCGGTTCGAGACGACACTCTTCTTGACGACCGTCCCTTTCCAAGGTTCCCTATTTCGAACTCTCTTTCTCTCTATATGGCATTTCAAACGAATGCAACCTCGAACTCTCGCGATATAAAAGACGATTCACATATTGCTCCGAGAGATTCGATCACATTGATTCAAACGAAAAATATATCCGGTAATTGTATCTGATCTAAGCTGTTTATGCGAGCAATATAACGGCGCCTACGCAAATATTTGATCGGACCTTGACCTAGAACGAGAATCAGTCTGAAATTTCCATCGGTCTCGCGATCGTAATTATTCTCTCTGGACATAACAAACATAATATTACAATACGTAGTATTGCAATTTTTCTCTTCGTTGACCGCACTCTAACCTTTCCTTTACAAGTTCTAAGAACAATGGGTGCGTAGGCACAAATCGGTCGTCCATCTTCTTATCGGTTATCGATCGTGTGAAAATTCTAAGCGTTAATAAATACCACTACCCAGCCCCTTTTCTCGAGTCCTCCCTTCGTATCATTTGTCGGCACTCCCTTGATGCGTGGTAATAAATCGAAAGACTTTTTTAACAAAAAATTTTTAAATATATCATTGAAATAGTTTAGCTACATTTACTACGAGCTATATTTTCTGCCTTTAATAATTTCCTTTGATAATTTTTCTAAGAACGACTAACGAAAAGATGCAAGGTAAACGGAACCACTTTCGTTCCAATTTCCGGAGTCCTGCGTTCTAGAGTTATGGAAGCGCTAGGTGCATTTTATTTTCGTTGTCAGGCCACGCTTTCGTCTTCGAACTCTCTCTCTCTCTCCCTTTTACTCGGGTGAAGTACCTTCGCGCGTAATATTATCACACGCTCGGCTGCAGTCGCGCAATATTTAAAATTATCAATACGCCAAAGAGATTAAGGAAACTTTCATTAACCGGCCGAATAATCCTCGTTTTATTTACGAGGTTCGTACTTAAAGAAAAGAAAAAAGTTATTTTTTAACGGAGAAAAAAAGGAACATGAGGTATTATATAAAATCGAGAGAGACGTTGTCAGGTTTGAGCGATTAAATAAAAACGCACTTGAATGGTTTAGAAAATGAAAGCGAACAAGTTACGTCACTCGATATAAACTCTCAACGGAGTTGGAGAGAAGGTATCGGGAGTATCGCTTGAACGCGAATGTGGCGAGAAGAGCAGAAAGGTCAGCCGGGGTCTAAGGTCGCAACTCGATCCGGTTATTATCACCTGCATCCGCGCTAAAGCGAGAAATCCAAACAGATTTTCTGGAAGAGACCGGTGTTCTCATCCCAACGTTGGCTCGAATGAGAAACGAATCGCCGACATATTCGTTGTCATATATATATATATATATATATATGTGTATATATATATATATATATATATATATATATATATATATACCCGCGGCTATCACGTTTATCTCGCATACGCGTCGAAAGGGTCGTTGCACATACTGCTCGTGTCTACTGTAATTCTGCACACAAGCAGGCGGTCCACACGAAATGTGTTTAGTATTCCTCGCGAGGGCTCGGGAGCTTCAATTTGCGGCTAGAAATTTGTCCGCCGGTTGCAACTTCCAGCAATAGAAATTCACTATGGTATTATACCGGCACCATAAACGATGGTATCCGTTCATATGCATAGCTATCCGATATACATACATATACCTATCCGTGGAAATGGTCACATTAGGTTCCTACGTGTATTCCATCGACGTCGAGCATCGATGGACGAATTTTCACTGGCCATTGTTTCGCCAGAACAACTACACGCGCCTACAACCTTCGACGCGTACTTTTCGACGAAAAGATAAAGAGACAAAGTAATCAGCGATATTTCTATATATTTTTTTTATTTGTATTTGTCGTTGGGAAAAGTACGTTGGTTGCTTCATTAAAACTATCTCGTATATCTGTCGTCCCGTACATTGGTATATACGACTCGAACCTTTCGAATGACAAGAAAAAAGTGATACTCCTCTTTCGATGACATTGCTTTATTATACGGATCGAACGAAGGAGAAGATTACTAAGTAAGAATATAGCAAATATATTCATCGTCGTGTAATCGTCCGAGTCGAAGAATGACTCTGCACCCATTGTTACCACCACGGTCCTGATTAATGCGAATCCACCGAAGATAGCAGCGAATCGAGTTAAAAGGAGGAGGAGAATAGCAGAGAGAGGCGCGTCCTAAAGTTACATACGTCGCCGTCGTGTCGTCCCGTAACAATACGTACGTGCGTAACGATAACGATCGAATTTCCATTCGGAAGAAAACGTCGAATCGATCGTACGCGAAGCGATCGTACCTCCAGACTATTTATATACTTTTCCTCGACTATTAATAGCTACGTAATTTTCTGTCTGGAAGGTTTTGGCGACCCTGGCGCTTTCCATGGGAACGTTGTCGTCTGGCTTGGCGAAAGGCTACACCTCGCCTGCATTGGATTCTATCCTGGACAAACAACCGCCTCCACTCTATCAATCGTCCAACAACGATACGTGGTGAGTCGCGAGTTGTAATTTAAAGATTCATTAACGTCGTGTCTTTCGAAAGACGTCGTTTCAATCGTCGGTCCAATCGGAATTATCCATCCACCTGCCGCTTCTTGGAGCGAGTTGGAATGCCGCAACCAGAGTACTACGGAATAGCTCATTCGAGTAAGGAGCATTATTATCATGCAAAAATGCGACACAGATTCAAAGAGCATGAGACCCGACACATCCTTTCCCGTCGCATCTGCAACGCTATTATTTATCGTACTCGGTTGCCCGTTCTCGACTCCACCCTCCTCTACGCTCAACAATTCGAAAGAGGAGCGTTTTAGAAAGTCGATTATATCGCAATAAAGATCTTATCGCAGCTAGTAATACGTTATCACGTACGCCATATATTTTTCTCCGAGAGGAGAAAGAAGACAAGCTTTTCTTTCGCTTTTCCTTTTTTTTTTTTTTTTTTTCATCTTCCAAAGTCCAACTCTCTTTCCCATTCATTCGATCCTGAAACGATTAGAACACGGTACGACTGCAAATGAGATTCGTCATATTCAATTCTATTTACCTTGGAAGATTTTCCGTGAACGTATTACGAAAGATCGACGATCTCTATGGACGGACGTCGTCCATAGAGAAGGAGCTTCGTCCTACTTTTACTATATACTTTGATATTTGCAAATGAAACGCTAAAGATTTGAACTTTCCTTTGGACCGAGTCATTTTGATCGACAATCCCTTTTATCTGATTGTCTAGGAAAATTATAAGCGAAAGATCATAAGCGAAAGGCAGATAATATAATCGCGTTACATACATACGCATGTCGCATATATACGCTAAACGTATACGATGGACCGGCATTCGCCGTGTGTTATTGGCATAAATATCAATTTGACTGGCGCTGTCACTTGTGCACTTAATGGCGCATTCGTGTCCTAAGCGTACACGAATGCGTAGCCGCCCTCGATTCGATCCTCGGAATCAGCAAATTTCTCTATTTTCCCATCGGAAATGGGAACCTCTTATCGAGTTTCATTCGTGTATTCGAGCGAACTTTGCGTAACGAAATCGGACAGATCTGCGATGCTCGTTTCGAAAGGCTTTTACGGCGAGAAGAAAAAAAGAAGAAAAGGATGGAACGAATGAGCGACAGGCGATAAATCGATATTAAAAACGAGCACCACCTTATATTTTACTAATATTTTTTTCGACATTCCGCAGGACGGTTTTCTCGGTGACGACGCAGGAGGCTTCATGGGTCGCGTCCTTGTCGATGTTGGGCGCTTGGTGCGGCGCCATGATCGGTAATTGGATAATGAGGAGAGGCCGACGCGTAGCCCTACGTGTCACGTCCTTACCCTTGGCTGCCGCATGGATACTTACGGGCGTTGCACCCTGCGTAGAAGTCGTCTATTGTACGAGTTTCCTCGGTGGACTCTTTTGTTCCGTTATTACGATGGTCGCCCAAGTAAGTGATCTAAACAAAATCCGAGGATTTTCCGAATGTCCATTGAATTACGTTAAAATACAATTCGATCATTTCTTATCAATCTCAATTAAACGAAAACGATACGGTCAAAGTTGGAAGGTGGTACGATAGAAGGAAGAAAAAGAAAAGAATAAAACTGACGTTCCCGTTTGTTCGTTTTTTATAGGTATACATTTCGGAAATCTCGATGCCAGGCATCAGAGGATGCCTGTCGGCGATGTTAAAGGTGCTGGGTCACGTCGGCGTCTTGCTCTCTTACATAGCCGGAACGTATTTGAATTGGCGACAGAGCGCACTCTTGGTGGCCGTCGCACCGTCGATGCTCTTTTTGGGAACGCTCTTTATACCCGAAACACCGTCGTATCTCGTTTTAAATGGAAAGGACGAGGAGGCAGCGAGCAGCCTGCAGTGGTTACGAGGCGAACAAGTTGACATAAGACACGAGCTACAGGTGCCTTTTCAACTAACATTTTTTTTTCTACTGACTTTTTTATCACGAAAAAATGATCGATTTCGCTCGTACGCTTTACGAAACAATAATAATACGCTGCCTTAGGACGAGGGTCGTACATGGGGGAGGGGAAAAAAAAGAAAAAGAAAAAAAAAAAAGTAACATTCTTTCAACGTTTTCGATGATCTGACAACGCGGTTTCGCAGGTGATCAAGACTAACATACTGGCGTCCAGGGCGAAGCAGTACGGACTGAAGAGCAGCATGCTGACGCCACGACTTTACAAGCCGATCGCCATAACTTGCGGACTGATGTTCTTTCAAAGATTTTCCGGAGCGAATGCGTTCAATTATTACGCCGTCATCATATTCCGTCAGACATTGGGCGGAATGAATCCTCACGGAGCAACAATAGCGATTGGATTCGTCCAATTATTGGCATCCTTGTTGTCGGGTTTCCTAATCGACATAGTCGGCAGATTACCGCTCCTGATTGCCAGTACCGTTCTCATGTCGTTAGCGTTGGCCGGTTTTGGTAGTTACGCCTATTACGTGTCCCAAACCCAAAATCTGGGCTATTCCGATTCCCCGGTGCCTACCGGCGAACACGACTGGATACCGTTGCTCTGTGTACTGGTCTTCACGACCGCCCTAGCCCTGGGCATATCGCCAATTTCCTGGCTATTGATTGGCGAACTTTTCCCGCTCGAGTATCGCGGTATCGGGTCCAGCATCAGTACCAGCTTCAGCTACTTTTGCGCCTTCTGCGGCATCAAACTCTTTATGGATTTTCAGCAAGTGAGTCGATTTGTCATTTCTTTCACTTATTCCCTTTCCTCCAGAAAATATATAAAAACGCATTTCTTCTTTTAGTAAGTCCGAATAGTAAGTAAGTTCATATGTTTTTTTCCATTGTCCGGTTGTTCTTAGGTTCTCGGATTACACGGAGCCTTTTGGTTTTACGCGGCAATGGCCGTCTGCGGACTTTGTTTCGTCGTTTATTGCGTCCCAGAAACGAAGGGCAAACAATTGGACGAGATGAATCCGGATTACGCACAGGCACGGTAGTATAAGGCCTCCTTGACGGGAGGTCTGTCGAATCTCGAAAAGGCGAACAAGCCTTTACCGAGCGGTGCTTATCCGAACGAGCACGATCCTCGGGAGATATACAGTGCCGAACAACAAGCTACTCTACCATCATCGGCAGGACCATCGACGACTAATAACTCTGTTCGTGGTATATCCAGAGGTAGTCATCGTTCCTTGTCCGAGTATTGTGGCATTTTCGCCGAGAAAACCAATAGGATAGGTAAAAACGTGGAGAATTTCATGCAATCCCGTGGATTTCTCGGATCGCCCGTTCAAAGATTAAGCCCCTACGAAACAACTCGTTACCCGAACGACAACGTTCTATCCTCGAACAAAATCAACGGGGGAACACACAAGAATGGAATTTATGGTAAAACGAAAATTCTCGAGCAGGATCGATGTTACGACGGAATAACTTGCGTTGCTAATAAAGATCGTCGCAGGGAGACGTTCATTTCGAGAGAATCAAATCGAACGAACGAACGCGTACGTTCCACCACCGAGATGCAATTGGCTCGTAGAGCCAATAGAAGTAACTACTATCGCGATGATGATCGGTCCTACGGCCCATGGAAGGACCAAGGCCCATTGAGAAATGTAAACGGTGCTAAGCCGATCCTGAGAAATGGCATCGGTTACCGGAGAGCCGAGAGGAAACGACCATACTGTTCGACCCTTCCGACTAGACGTAGCAGGACCATTAATTTCAAGGATCAGCCTTATAACTCCCTGGAGGAACTACGCGGATACCCGAAGAGTCTTCAGGATTTAACGGATTTCGAGATCGAGGAGAGAATAGGAAATTCAAGCGTGTCCTCCTTACCAAAAACGAGAACGCGTTCGAGGGATGACAGACCGGCCGACGTTTATCGTCATCGTAGAAGGGTACGAGACCTCCCGGTGGACGATCCTTTGCACGAGGACGACGACTATTTGAAATTTTGTAGAAACTTGGCGAGAATGGAAAGATATCCTCGGGGAGGCCGTTACGAGCCGGGACAGGTGCACTATGAGAGAGAGTGTAGAACCTTTGGAAAGGATACCGTAGCTTTTATTTATTACAAAACATGTTATTTGTGATCATATCAAATGCGAACGAGAAGCATCGAAAATATCTCTTATTTTCATTCGTTAGACGTTTCCTCTGCAACGTTGGCTCATATAAGTTACTTACGATACCGTTACGAAAGATTCGCGAGAAAACGCTTAGCGATAATTACTATCTATCACATCTTCATCCTCTTTTTCCCTCGTTTAATAGTGATTTTCTTAAAGCTCGCGGTTTCACTTTCTTCTTCTTTTCTTTTTTCATGCATACATATGCGTGCACACACACACACACACACACACACACAGAGACACACCTAAAAAGAGATTTGCGGTAGAACAAAAGGCAGAACTTCCATGCATCGTGCCTTTCTCGAAAAACGCGACAATATTACGCTAAGACGACAATACTTAAAAATCTCGTCTACCTACCACGTGCGTATATCTTAACACACGCGCGAATAATGTATATAAAGGATAGAGATAATTTAAAAATGGAAATATTCTTAGGAAATAAATTTGACGAATCGCGCGAACAGATTCTTCCTAGACCGAATCTATCGATGGAATAAAAGAGAAAAAGAAAAAAGGATAGACGATATTAAATCGATAATAATTAGGAGTCGTATAAATTTCGTATTTTCGTTTCAATACGATCGGACGATTTCTGCCCAATTATAAGAATCTTTCTATTTACAATCAATTTTTACAAGAGAGTATTAGCTTAATAGAAACGAACGTAATCGCGTTGCCTGGCTTTATTAGAGAAAATACATGTTAATTAACTATAAGGTGCAAAAAGGCACGCGTTATTACCGATGAAAAAGAGAATGCTCGGATCTTATCCTCGCGACTCGTTTTACGAGTCAATGACTTAATTGCGACAATATCTGTAGATAGATGCATACTTGTCTGTATACTTGTTATCTTTCTTACATCTATATCGCATAACGGAGTATTGTATATAATATATATGCGATATCAGCCCACTCATGTACATACGTGTATTCGCACGAGGGTGGGAGCAAAAAGTAAACAAAATTTATCGACAATATATAAATACGCATATACACATACGCATACACGCATTATATCGATCGTTGCCAAATTCGTTTGATCTCTAGGTTTAGGACTCGAATAATCAAATTTTCTAAACTAGTGCGTATGCAAGTACGTACCTATATAGGATATATACGACTTATCCTTCAACTGTAATTTCCATCGACGGAGAGAGAGAGAGAGAGAGAGAAAGAGTCGATAAGCCTAATGTTTACTTTCTTCTAAAAGTCTACCTACGTTTAGCTGCCATTTAACGATATAATATTTTTATAAGATTTTGTCAACTCGGAACTAAAGATTGTTGTGCAATGTGAACAAAACCTTCCGAGAGATTAACTGCGAGAAGAAGGTTAGAAAGAGAATGATATCTGTATTTGATATTTTTATATAGTCTGTAGAAAAAAGAACACAAATGAAAAAAAAAAAAAAAAAAAAAAAAAAAAGAAAAACAATACACGACCGACGTTGCGCTACGCAAAGAGGAGTCGGCAATCGTGATCAAAGGCCTAGTCTTCGAAACAAGGAAAAATATTTCATTGTTCTACGACAGAGAAGAGATACAATGATAATATAAAGAAAAAAAAAAAGAAGGATTTCGATGCTTCCTTACTCACTCGTCGGATACGATAGAATATATCGCGTTGTCCTTCTCCTTGCGGTCGTCGAGTAAAACTTCTTATACTTCCGTAATCATTTATATCTACACACATACACACACACACACCCAAGTATATAAGTCATATCCTTGCCATATCCAATATTCTAACGAAATGGAAGTCTGTGAAGCGCGTATTACGATATCGCGTACTTATAAACTAATTAATAAAAATACTTATCGGAAATGATATATACTAACGGTGCTTTTGTAGATAAAACTCGAATCGATTTGAAATTTTGAACGATTTGATATCTATAGAGGGTTGCGCGTCCGACCAATTGCAAAAACGATTTTGAAATCTATCGGGCGCGTCGTCTGACCGATACGGGCACAGTGAATAACTCGAAGCAAAAACATATCGCTAACTTATCGAAAGAAATTGCCCTCGATCAAGAGAGACTTTCTCTCTCTCTCTCTCTCTCTCTCTCTCTCTCGATCGAGTGGAATACGAAGGGAATAATCGATTCGAAAAGATTGACGCATGTATATCTGTATAAAAAAAAAAAAAAAAAAAAAAAATAACGATCTCTCCGAGCAAACATATCTCGTCGAGTAAAATTTGCAGGGTGTTAAGTCACTGTGTTTACTTAAGGGTAAGAAAAAGACAAAAGATGATAATATAAAACTACATTAAATATCCTACAATGCTGAAGGGCTTGGACGTAGTATCGAATAAAATTTCTATTATGATTAAGATATAGCGCAGTGCAATGCTCGTTAAACGAGTGCACGCGTAGCTTAAGATAATCGACTTTAGAGTTCTATATATACAGATTGTGTACATACGAATTTTCGACCATCCCGTTCTTTAGCATTCTTTGCGCCGTACCAATAATAATTCTTATTCGTGTCAAAGGCACGATTTGCGGACATTTCGGAGGGACTATTGCGTAATTTAAAGCGAGAGTATTACTTCTTTCCCGTAGTCAATGTCGAGCCTGATAAAGGAATAAAAAAAGAAATAAATACACACACACCACAGAGAGAGAGAGAGAGAGAGAGAGAGTATATACACGTGCGTACATATATAATTATACATAAAAAATATCTGCACTGTGCACTTTTGTGAATTGAAGGTTTATTGTAATACCTGGCGGTACGATAGAGTTTGATTCGGAAACAAAGCGTCGTATTACCGCACACATAGAGAATGTAAATTAGTCGGGGATATTATAGGCGTCGTAACAAGTTTCGCGCCCCTTTGTACGCATCCATTTATGTATTATACATAGAGATACATACGTATATACATACACGGGCTACATTATGTGTACGCGCCGTAAAGTTAACGACGTTATTTACAAGTCACTTTCTAGTAATGAAACTCGCTTGAAAATGCACGCCATCGAATAATCGAAATAGGTGCCGACGAAGATTAGCTTATCGGATAGAAGAAACAAGCTATACAAACGATCGCGCGTTACTCAAGCGTATTCTAAAACTCGAAACGTCTTTACGAAGAGATCAGTTCGAAAGAGATAAAGAGCGACTCCAAAAGTAACTCGGTGACAATAAGATAACAAAGAGAAATAATCGACAATAAACATTATATAGAGAAAGAGCGCTGGCCGTCTAAACACATATATACGTGATTATATACATATACATATACATATACATATAAATATATAAATTTGTGCATCTATGAGATGTGTCAGAGACAAGAAAAAAAAGAAAAAAAACTACAGCAGAAAAAACAAAAAGAAAAGAAAGAAAGAAAGAAAAAAAAATGTCCGACAAGGTATTTTCCAAAACGATGAAAAAGAAAAGAAAAAAAATATATAAAATCCTACTTCTAAAAAGGGTAGCTTCGCTTGCTAGATTTAATATTTTTGTAATGACGCCTAGGTGTAGTTTGTTTGTACCTCGATAGAGTAAACGTTTAATCTACGAAAAAGGGATAAAAGAAAACACAGGAATATATCACAGTGAAAGATTGCAACATGTGTGCGTATATATATATATATATATATATATATATATATATATATATATATATGCACATATGTATATATATATGCATACACACACACACACACACACACACACACACACACATTTCGATGGAAATAAGACTGTGTGCGAGCATTCAAAGTATAAGCGAGCTTTAACTCCGATCATCGAATTAGAAGGTGTCTCCAACGCGTGGCTGATATTTTCTTCGATCGATGCCTTTTTTCTTTCGTTTTGTACATACTTTTGGAAATACTTTTTTCTGTTTCGAATCTTATTAGAATCTCGTTGGAGTTTAAGAAAGAACAAGGAACGATGGCATCGATGATATTACTAGAAATGAGAATTGGATTTGTTAAATCGTATCTTGAAACGGAAAAGAAGAGGGAGAAGAGAAATAATAGATAAAAGAAAAATAATAGTCGATCTTGGCGAACGTCGGAGACCCTTCTAAAATCGTTACGGTAAAAGATATGCGTTTATCTATGTTAGGTATAAAATAATGTACTTAAGCGAGAATTTAGTTAGAAAGTTTTCTCTAAAAGATCATTAATTTCGTTAATGAATGATAAAGCTGGATATACGATCGCTAACCAAGCGGAACCAAGATATTACGTATTTCTATAGAGAAATCATATACACATATTATAAATGCCAAAATAAGAAGAAACAAAAATAACCGATAACACGGATATTATCTTCTTTTTCTTTAACCTTGACAAATGACGACAGTTTAACGTAACGGAATAACGGATTTTCCAATTCATTCCTTATTAATTTCCCCGTTTTAACACTCGTAGATAATAGCGAGTATTGTTCGGAATTTCGTTCGCTCATTACCTGAAAATATCCAATCCTAATGGACATATTTTGTACATTCATACTTCGATTAGACAAGGTGACGATGAAAGTGCCTTGTCAGAAATATTTCGGACTTTGTATTCGTAAGTTTTTAACGTGACGAGGACGCCGAGTATACACAGGTTGTACAATATAAATATATACAAAAATATTATTATCTGAAATTCTATCGCCACATATACCAACTTTACGACTTTTTTCTTTTACGGAGTTGTAGATAATTATAGAAATGATGGCGTTGACTCGTTGCACTCGAATAGAACGTCTCATTAATAATCACATTAATAAAGAATTTTGTCGACGATGTCATTTATGTGATCATCACTTGTCCTTTTGTCGCTTCGAAAATGTTAATATTATATACGAAACGCGCCGACATCTGGACGCTAAAATTTGTACCACATTGTCCGGCATATTAGGCGGGCGATCGGTTGAATTCGGAAATTTGTAATATAATGTAAAAGACTTACCCAATTGCGGAACCGACATGTAAGTTTCACAATCGACGAGAAATTGTCCAGATTGTACGGCTCCAAGAGCAACTATCCTTTTCGTCAGAAACTCTATCGTCTGCGGGCCTGTTCTATTTTCCGTCATTGGAAACTGCTGCAGTCTGAGAACGCAAGCGAAAAGTTTGTTACCGTAAACGAACGCCGTAATATTTATATAGGATAGAAAATTATTGTAGCGACTCGTTAAGCTCGGGTTACAATAAAATTCTAGAAAAATCGATTTTCGTAAACATATTATGGCGACCTAACCTCTAAGAAAGAAGAAACGTAACGTAAAACACAAGGCGACGAACGTTACAAGGAAACATATGGAATAATGAAGGACACGGTGCAAATAATATTCGTGGAATGCGATAAACTTACACCGTCACGCCCATCTTTGCAACTTTTAATGATATCTTTAACGAGATTAAGAGAAAGTAAACGACAGGAAAGTGCTAAGGCACCGGCTATAATGAAAGCGCGCGGAACACGATGAACGAAGTCAACGCCATCTCGTTCCGATAGTTGGATAGTTCCGATAGATGGAGTTACGATATGATAGATCGAGCTAACTAGCACGGGTAACGTCCGTTTATCCATTTTCAACTAAAATTATTTCTCGACTTTGTTCAAATATTTTAACTTTTACTTTGATATACCGATCAAAGTAATCCCTTGATTTTATCCTCTGAGCTTAAGAAAAAGAAAATGTCCTTCCGACGTTGAATCGTATCGCGTCGTGCCACATCGAATCGAATCGAATCGAATCGAATATAAGCAAATATCGAATAGGAGCAAAGTTGACGTTTTCCCGTGAGAAATTATTGATTCTTTTCTATCTGTCGTAATTACGACAACGTAAATTACGAACAAACGTTCTCGACGAAACGTTTTTTCATTCTTAAATGGTTAAGTGTACCATCTTATGGTTCATAAAGTTTGGCGTCCCTTGATAGATGACGCAACGATCGCGAGAGCCGTCTACGACGTACCTGTAAAATGGCGATATCTGTTGCAACCGCGTTAAAGCATTTTTTACGCTCGGTTCGTCATCGATATTCGAGGACTATTCGAAAGTGTTCATTCGAGGATCGCTTTGTCCCGCGAAAGTGAAAATTCAAGAGGATTTTGGAGATCGTAATATCGGGGATCGTCGAAAAGTCGAAAAGAAGTCGTTTCGAAAATCAGGTGAGAAAATTTCACAATCTGCCTGCCGTAGTTACTTACATGCGTGCGTGCGTACGTACGGAGACTCAACTCGAAGTTATGCTCCGTCGATTATATACCTCACCGTATTTGGGCATCGACGTCTCGAACGTGCGTTTTATATTTTGTAATACGCGATATCGACCGAATCCTTTTTTCTCTCGTTTTTTTTTTTTTCTTTCTTTCTTTCTTTCTTTCTTTCTTTCTTTCTTTCTTTCTTTCTTTTTTCCACGCTTTCACCCTGCTACGCGTATTCTCTCGTAGTATTACGCGTATTATTAACGCGTATCCTTTGTGCAAGAATCGTACGATTTAATAAGGGCAAACGAAATATGTTTCTTCCCTATGTCGATTGGTATAGGAGAAGAAGGAGGAAAAAAGTTTGTAATTTGAAAATACGATTGGGGCGCTATGGCGTTTGAATACGGCGATTCCGAGCCGTTCGGCAAATACATATACTCTCCTTATTCGTAAACGAACTCTTGGGTAGGATGATAATTTCTAAATATATGCATATTTTTAAAGAAATCCACGAAGCGATATGGATTGTCGTGCGATATAACAAAGAGACGACCTCGTTGGCATCGTTATCGTCGAGCGATATTTAGTCAATAAACGTGTTTTATAATATAGGAGGTTAAACGATATCGTCGCGGCGGCGTACGTAAAAGTATCGCGAAAGCGCGATGTACGAAACGAAAAATATGGGTCATTGAGATAGACGACGGCCGGTGAATTTTTTGTTTCTCGGCTGCTGCCGAGATAAACGATTTTACCTTAATGACGGAGCAGCAATTACCAAAGAGAAGAATTAAACAAAGGGTCTGTTCAGTTCTTTCCTATATATTTTCTCTACATACGTTGGGGGAGACTTTTGCTTTTGAAAAAGCTTTCGCGAATACGTAGACGCGCGAATTTTTCAATAAATTTTCAATAGATTTTAAAAGCGAAGAACAATCACTGTTCTTTTTCTTCGAATATTACAAGTTATCGAGCTAGACCGTAAAAATCGATCTATCCAATCGATGTTAGCTCGCGTCGTGGAATTTCTGCGGCGGACACGCACGTTAAAATCTCGTTTGTCGCGTGGGAAGGGACGAGAATCGATTAAAACCGGATTACCAAAGGCGATCACGATTATTATACCCTGATATAAATCGAATATATGTATCCGACGTAGCGAACTCACCGTGAGAAAACATCTTCTTTGTACGTCTCGACGATCGAACGAGAAATACAAAAATAGGCGCCAATCCTGAAGGAGACGCGCACCGGCAGGAAGCTATGACCGGATGTTGGACAGGCACGTGACTGACATGCAGAAAATGCTCCTCCCTTGAGCTCGTTAAATATTCCGTCGATATTGGACAGTGGCAGACAAACGAGAATCGGAATGGCATCTCGACTCCGTAGATATTGCTTCCTTGCTTAAAATATGATATACCTAAGCTTTTCTCCATACCCAATGGATAGAATTTATCTCCTTCGAGACATATCCCTCGGGATATTCTTTATTAGTTATTTCAATCGACTCCATATCTCATCCGTAATCCGATCCGTATCTTCGATTAAAATTGCTCTCCTTTATCGCACTTGGTAGCGATTTTAGCGGAGTTTCTTTGGTTAAAAGAGTTTAGAGAGAGAGAGAGAGAGAGAGAGAGGGCGGGGAGGGGATGGGGTTGCATTAAACGACGAATCGTTCTTGGCATTTGTTTTTCTTCCTTTTTTCCTTTTTTTCTCGACGACGCATCGAAGAAAAAATCATTGCGTTTAGGTTAATTTTTAATAAAAATGATCTTTAGACGCGTACGACTTTTACCTTTACCTTTAATAATAAACGGTTATGAACGGGTGTCGGGGCGGGAAAATTAATAAACTTCTTCCCCTTTCATCTCGCGCGTTATTTCAATAAATCGCCGATTATTTTTCTTTCGATTCTCCGGACTCCTCAAGAGACTCGGGGGTCTCTCTTCGTCGTACGATATTAATAGAACGAATAGGAGCGAAGCGTCGATCTTATTTCCGACGATGTTTACGACGTACCGCGTCTACCTTCATTGAAAAAGACAATGCAAATCGGTCATCCTTCTTAAAAGGCATCAGAATAAAATATGTGCGACGGGCTATATCTCGCGATTGATTTACCAACTCTGTATCGCCTACTTTCCTCACCGAAGAGAGTCACACCTGTTCGTTCCATAAACCTGCATTTGTCCGTAATCTATTATAGATCGTGTGCCATTTCTCAACGACTTGCTCTTTTTCCTTTTCCGTTTATCGCTTGGAATATGCTTGAACGTATCGCTCGAGGAACTTTTTATCCCTTTTTAATAGCCGACATTATAATTTTCTTTCTTTTTTTATTTCATATATACGTTTTCAACAGGATCGCTTCGATAAAGGTTATATCAGAAAAAGATACGCCTTAAAAATATAATCCTCCTCCGTCGGAGGAAGGAAGAAAGGTCGATTACAAAGAGTTTATCTTTAAATCGGATATTGGAATTAAGAGGAACGTCTTAACCCGTCGATATTCGTCGCGGTTCGAACTGTCAGGGAAGTCGAGCTTTATATCAGCCCGGCGGAATGTTATTGCAAGCTCGAATCAAATTCCAGACGTAATGGAGAAACAGCGAGATGCTTGTCAAGCCGTCCCCCCCTTTGGGCATCCGTTCGCATTACTCGCTAGACGGACGCAAACGTGTTTCACCATTTAATACATCCATTGGATAATGGGATATAGTACGGATATATTACCCGGCCGTATAGAGACCTGCGCTTTCATTAAATGTATATGTGTGTGTGTGTGTGTGTGCGTGCGCGTGCGTATATGTATAGCAAAAGGTACGAACGCAGCGTATTATAATAATAGGTCGATAGGTCCTATCCTTTCTGATCGAACTTATCGTTGACAATTCTTCGTCGCGCGTTTAGCCGACACGACGAAGGCTAATTTCTCTTAATTTTGTAGCCCGGCGCGGCCTTGGTTTTTCGACTACGAAAAGTGGATAGTGGAGAGAGAGAGAGAGAGAGAGAGAGAGAGAGAGAGAGAGAGAGAGAGAGAGAGAGAGAGAGAGAGAGAGAGAGAGTGGGGGGGGGAGGGGAGGGGAAGGAGAGAAAAGGGCGATGCGTCAATGCCAGCGCGAGACATCTGGCTTAACCATAAACATTCTTGTCGAGTTAGCCATCGCGCCGGGGCTCGCACGTACGAAGGAGACGCCGTAAGGAGCAAAGACAAAGAACGGAAAAAAAAGTCGGAAAAGATGGGAGTGCGAGGGGAAAGCAAGTAAAGATGAGAGATAGTCCGGTTAAGACCAGTGAGAGAGACGAAAGGCACTTGAGCGACGACGAGTGCGCTACGAGTTGTCTTGAACCACGTCTCACCCAATGACGTCATTGTTCCAGTGAACCCTGAACCGTCTCTAATGATTCAGCCAATATTTATAGAAACCATAAATAATGAAGGTTTGCGCTCTGGTACGTGGAAACGCATGGTTCCTGAAAGAAGAGATAGGAAAAATGGAAAAACCGTGTCGCTTCGTTGAGGAAAAACGTGTGAACGTGTCTCTTCCTCCTCCTCCTCCTCGGTCATCATCGACTAAACTACCGCGTTGCTCGCGATGTAATTACATATAACGAGCTGTCGGCGCGAACGTCCACGGGTATACATTATACCATGGTATAATACGTAGAGATATACATACCGTGTACAGCCGGTATGTTTCTGCGCTCTACACGAACGGATTTTCCTGAAAAAGAGACTGGGCGCTGGTTTCATTATCGACTTTAAAACTGGTCATAGCATCCTGCCGTGAAAAGCAGACTGCCCGTCCGCGAATGAATCGAACGATTTCCGGTTATTGTCCGTTTGCCGAGCAATTTCCCCGGTTCGACGGTATATTTATTTCTCCTTTCTCCGCGCATTCGATTATTATCGTCTGAGGAGATTATATCCGACCGTACCCATTCTACTACCTTAGATTTTTCTAGCCGTGCAACTTTTCAACGAAGGCGTCTTCCCTACGTTCTTCCTTATTTTCTTAACAACTCACTCTGTCTGATGATTACAAAACGTTATTTATAAATATATCGTCATTAACTTTTTCGATACCATCGAAAATATATCTGCCGAGTATTTATTGCAAAAAAGCGAGAGATTTTCCTTCGAGTAAAGTAGTATCGACTTTACGTCATGTTCGATGTTTCTCAACGAAATTTCGATTAACCGTCGAAAATCGAAAAATACCGGATGTAACTTTGTGGATGGAGTAAACACGCTGGGGAAGAAAAAAGGGGGAGAAAAAATAAATAAATAAATGGAAAAGAAAGAGAAAAAGAACGAAATGCTGGTGCTGCAACGAGCTCTAAAAGCTTCGCGTTTTTGGGGATCCTTCGACGGTGCAACGGAACGAGGAAAAAAACCTCTTTACTTTATAGGATTTTCTTTTTCTGTATCTCTCCAATCGCTCGTTCTCGTGTTTCTACATCGGCGTTCTCGCCAAGCTCTCTCGCTCTCCCTCTCTCTCTCTCTCTCTCTCTCTCTCTCTATCTCTATCTCTCTATAAAAGCGTTTCGCGCACAACGTGTTTGCCTTGCGGAATAAAAGCGCGACTCCTAACCGTTAACAAGAATTAACGCACATTTGCCACTCCGAAGAGAACGAGAGAGGGAAACGGTCTCGTTACATCTATCAGCGAGTGTCGTCCATGTACACGGTGATCCAAAAGTTCCTTTCCTAGGTTTACCTTTAAATTTGTTATGGTCACGCATTCGATTTGCTTGGCGCTCGACCTGCAATTTTTTTAAAAGCCTCCGCTCGTCTACATTTTCCTTCTTCTTTTTTCAAAACACATTTTCCGCATTTTATCGTAGATTTTTTCTTTCTTTTTAACAAAAAAAAAAAAAAAAAAAAAAAACAAAAAAAAATATAGCCGACGTCCATCGTTCTACCGTTAGGAGAAAAACGTAAAAGTGCATTACTATTCTATTTTATGACTTTGAATTACCGCGACGTGGATTCTCCATTACGGCGTACTCGAGCAAAGGTAATTCGATTTTTGCTAAAAAGTAAAAGAAAAAAGGGATCAAAGAAGGGATATATACGACGTAAGGTATATCTTAAAAAAGTGATTCTTGAAACGTAAGATGTCATCGACGTAAGATCTTATATTATTATTAGGTACTATCCCGATCCAATAATAGAAGATTTTTTCGGAGATGGAGATGCCGGGATTTTCCCTTATGTCGATCGAGGTATTCTCTTCGAATTTTATCGCATCTATTTGTTCCTTTCTAAATCACCACGTATAGAACGTTAGATCTGCACACTCGACTGTATATTCTTTGATATATAAGCACGCGTAAGTGCTAAGGTGGATGAAACGTAACTCCGATTACCTCCATTATTACCTCTGGTTGGACAAATATGCTGGTTTTACGCGTGATATATAAAACATCTTGTTAAACGTCTATGCACGTACGTGCTCATGTACTCGTTCCCGAATATTTGAGAATGACATAGAAAGAGATTATATCGATAAGAGATAAAAGCACCTACGGAATTTAAAAGAGTATATCTGTCTGTTGGGTCGATGCATGGTCGTATAAAAAAATTCTCCGTTTATAATCACTATATATACGTATTTAGGTTGCGCCATGCCACGACTCGACATCGATCGAGTTTGACATCCTTTCTATCCTAATTTTCGCTTCAAGCGCTATAAATATCTATTCCTCTGGCAGCTTTCTTACGAAAGAAATTTCCCTTATCGCGAAGGAAGATGCTAAAGAAGAAGGAGAAGATTCGAGAGACGGAGACGATAATCACGAAGCAGCACGTTAGAGAGAGAGAGAGAGAGAAAGACTGCCTGTTAGGAACGATGGAGAAGGGAAAGATAAAGCCGCGGCAGTGCGCGTGCAATGCACAAAGCTACCGAATGAATGTGCGAGAATCTAAAGGGAAGTGCGGCGGATGCGGCGGCCCTTAGTATTCCGTGCGACGGACGCAAACGTTTAAGAATCTCGTCGAGGCGAACGAGAGGAGTCCGCGAGAGCGAGAGAGAGAGAGAGAGAGAGAGAGAGAGAGAAAGAGAGAGAGAGATGGAAGCCTTCGAACTTTCCACGACGCAAGACGAGGCCGAATGAAACTTTGCAAGTAGAAACCACGAGAGTTTCGTATTTCTCAAGTTGTGTTCGCCATTCGAAGGGAAGAAATGGAACGCTGTATTAAAGGTGAAATCGAAGAACCGATCTTGAAAGAAAATTTTAATTGTTTTCATTAATGCCCGTTTTCACATAATATGCCCTAAAATATGTTTTCTCGAGAAGATTTTGAAGCCGTCTTCAAAATTGGGTCGCGTGGAGAATCTTTGATAAATAAGAAGAGCAATGCCCTCGAAAGAATTATTATTGAAAAATGGAAAGGGATGAAGAAGATAAGCAAAGAGAGATTCGATGTTTCACCGGATTAATTTTTCCAGAATACTGCTTCTCAATCAGAGAGAGAGAGAGAGAGAGAGAGAAAAAGTTCTTTAAAAAATGCAGTGGTTACGATGAAATGTCATATCTTCTTTTTCTTCTTTCCACTGTTGAATGTGTTTCGCGTATAGCACTCGATAGTGCCAAGCCTCTTGTCTTGAAAATAACTTCCACGAAAGCGCGACGTCAGCGATCTTCCAGGGCAAGTAACGCTCGACATAATTCTTGCGTGCACGATAATCGACGACCTTATGCGACAAAGAACCGACAGCTGCATCACTTTTAAAGATCCTTGATACACGTATGCTTGCATGTATCTAGACAGACAGTTGCTATAATAGATGGTCGAAGAAAAAATAATAACCTTCTTCGAATTAGAAATAAGACGAATGATCGATGAGGTCGAAAGAATATGGTAGAAATCGAATGATAAAAAAAAAATTGGCACCATTCACGTTTCCAATTCTTGACGTTTCCAAATCGAAGGTTAGATCCGTACGATCTATATCCACGCGTTGTTAGTCGCGAGTGTTATCGGAGAAGCTTACCATATTCGTGTCCCTTTCACAGAGTCTCTCAACTTTAAGCTTTTCGAAGCATTCTGATATCTTTTTTTATCTGCTTTGCTAAGACTCGGTTCTATAACTTTCGACGTATTCTAAGCGGTCCCCGATAAAAATATCCCAGGTGCTTTTCGTCGTGCTATCTTCGACGACAAGTCGCTTTCGGTCGAAAGCTTTTTCGAAAAGAGCGCTGCGTTAGCTCAAACGCAACCCGGAAATTCCACGCCGTCTCGACTTGGTTCGCTCCTTTTCAATGTATCACAAATAATGTCTACTCGAACTGACAGTGACTTTCAACTTTGTCAGTGTCATCCTTTCTAATGCCTAACGTAGAGCAACTTTATCCTAGTACTCGACGAATTCAAATGCATACATATATACATGTATATATATGTATACGCATACATATGTATGTGCGCGCACATATATGTTACGGAAAAGCTATGATGCCTCGAGCAAGTTTTACGATCGTATTCTCCTATATAATAATGACTCCTCGTTAATCGATATATGCGATAGTTGTCGGCCGTTTCGCGAGGGTAAAGGATGATATTTCTAAGAAAATCGTACAGCGCGAGTTAGGCGTTTGCGATTTTAGGGAGGTTCCTAGGGAAATAATTTTGCGTGTGCACCACTGACTGCTTTACCCCGGGCAAATAGGTATGCAGTTATTCTGAGACTGCCGGGGTGAATGGCCACCTCTTCTCGGCTTCTCGCAGCTTCTCGCTCGCGAAAGCTCAAATCGAATATCATCCGGAGGTGTCCGAGATACGAGCGATATCATTACATTAGGATGACGCGTTCTTCCTGATTTATCTCGCCTCGCCTACCAACTCGCGCAGTCCGGATTTCGCACCGCTTTCATTTTGGCTTCGTCGCAGAAACATTGTTTAACGTCGCGTCAACCCAGTCCGCCGTCGCATACGGACAAATTCATATTTATGCATATTCATCTATATTTAATCCGTAGCTACTCGTTCGATCGAGTACGTTGGAAAGTTTATAACTCGTAATATATTCGAGAATAGATACGAATATATATAAAGGATTATTCGTAACGGCAGAAATGTCAAGAATTTAATAGGGGAACGCGCTAGCGACGCCGTTAAAATATTAGAATCGATTAGGATTCATTGACGTCTCGGGGAAAGATTTGACGCTTCCTCCTATCGATAGCGATCGTAATTTATAATCCAAGAGGAACAGAGAGAATTCTAACGAGACGCGATTCGATCGAACGAATATCGGATAAAATAATAGGTAATTTGATTAACGATGGTTCATATTCTGTATTAGTTAAACAATAACCGTTGTGCCATCGAAGAAGGTTATTTCATATCGCGCCTGAATTTCTCGATCGATCCACGCGTAATCGCTAAATTAGTGCGGTCATTAACAACGACACGGGAACGGCTCGTTAACTCTTGCGTATTATTATTCGCATGGTATTTGAAAATGACCGCTTTATAAAACAATCCCTGATAACGATGCTTCGGCTAACGACGAAGAGGGGAAAATCCGACGACAAACGAATCGCTCTTCTCGTTATCGATTAGAATATCTCAATTATCAAAGTTGTAATTATGAAGAATAATCGTATAGCCGTAAACGTTGCTCCAACTATTGCTCCTATATTTGAAAGTTACGAATTTGGACGGACGTTTTCAAATTGGAGGCGCGACCTCGACTCGACTACGTGTATTTTCGTAACGTCAATAAACGCGTCTTTTACTACTCGCCGAAAAATTGACTTTAACTCCTTCCTACGTCGTAGATATATATCTATCCGGTCTTGATAGATAGCACTCGAAAAGTCTCGGCTGTTGCATCCTAGGTAAATCCGTTCGATCGTTGCGTCACGAAATCGACGATTTCAATGATTTTCCTAGCGATTTAAACTCTCGATCGAGAGTGTGCTACGTTTTATGTGCCTCCTGCTTATTGGCCGCATGCTTATACGTGCATGCGTGCCTATGTTATATATAAATAAACACACTCCTACGGAAGAGAAGGAAGTCTTTCGTAGACGAGTACTACCTATATCGAAGAAGGTTCATTTTCGAAGAAAAGACGCTTGCTGCAACGATACGCTTGTTGCAGGAGGAGCAGTTTCTTGGTTTCTCCATTCGGTTTTGCGAGCGGGGCATACGGTCGGCAGGGCCCCTATTTTTAGCGAGCTTTCCTTCCTAGCGGTAGCAAATGGCAATGGGTGGTCGCGATCGCGCAGGGAGTCGACTCTGCAGTGCCTTCCTTTGCAACAGCCTCTCTTTCGGCTTTGGTTAGCCGAATCAAAATTCCTTTTCTTTTTACGAAGAAATCGATTAAAAACTTTATCGTTCTTTCATGCTTTTCTTTTTTTTTTTTCTAATAATGCCTTTCTTTTCCAATATATTAAAGAGACATTTTTCTATTAACGAGCCGTTCTTGAAACGATCCTCACGCGGTTTCTCGATCGTCAAGTGCTATTTCTTCGGGTTCGAAAAAGAAAAAAAGGAGGACACTTATCTCGTACGTTATACCGGATTACATCTCGGATCTAACGAGACCGCTCTCAAGTGGCAGAACGTTCTAAGAACGTCGACACGATTTATGCCGACGCTCGAGCATAGAAATGTACACAGTAATACCGTGATAAGCGTGTTATCATGAAAAATCTCTTGTACGAAAGAAAAAGATTTCTTTTTTTTTTCTTTCTTCCAAAGCATAGCTTTCGACGTGGCTTCATTGTTGTCACAGACGCAAAAATCGAATTCAATGGCAGCCAAAAGCTTCCATTTGTTTGTCGTCGTCGTTCTCGTCGTCGTCGTCGTCGTCGTTGTTGTTGTTGTTGTTGTTGTTTGAAAGCGATATCAGAGTTTAATCATCGCGAGCCTCTTCGCGAGAGGAAATAAATTGATCGAGCAGAGTGGGCTGCCTTCTCTCTCGCCGAGGCGTCTTTCAGGCGTCTTCGAGGCGTCTCGAAGACGCCTAGCCTACACGGATCCAATTATTCGAACGTTACCGCCTCATAT